ATTGTTGGTGCAGTGAAGTATGTGTTTGCAGTGTTAGCATGTTAGCATGTTCCTCTTGTCACATGAAGGAGTCCAACATGTTCAATTGAAGCAACAAGCCAGAAGCTGTTTCAACAGTCTCAACAAAAACCCAACCTCAGTCTACCTTTGTGTGATACTGTGACTGCCTGTTTTCATCCATCACATCATCTTGGAACAAAACTGGGAGGGACAAAGGAAGGAGAGAGGGAAACTGAAGTACTCACCGAATGAAGATGAGGACACGAGGAGCCGATATCAAAGGATTGCTTCGGATGACGGAGGTCGGTTAAATCTGGGAAAAGTCCGGGTCGGACGGTCACTGCAGAGAGTACGATCCACAGAGGAGAGCTTGGGAAAGCTCCGGGGAGAGGAGGGAGTTTAAGAAGAGGAATTGAAGCTTTGGGGACGTTCGATGGGAGGAAATAAAGTCTGTGCTCCGTCCTCTGCAGATTCAGCCTCTCGCTGCTTTCTGCCCTCGCCTCTATAATACTTTTATCTCACTCTTGATATGGAGATTGTGAAACCTGCAGGGAGACTGGACATGTCCATACTGGGACTGTGAGTCTGGAAGGTGGGATGAAATGGGACTTGGAAAGGGTGAGGGAGATGGGGAATGTCTCTGAAGGGAGATCCGAGTGTTTGCAGAAGGTAAAGAAAAAGGAAACAAAGGCCTCGCCTTTACTTCTCTGTTCTCTCGAGAAAAACTCTTGGAGACAGATTTCTTTTGTAGAGGAGATGAGGCGAGCGCCCGGCGAGGGCAGCAACAAACTCAATTAGAGATGGATGGAGATAATGGTGTGTATCGGTGGCACCTGCTCTGCCTCCTCTTTCTCTTTCTGTCTGCTTTTTCCACCTGACTGCCAAGATTAAGGCATATAATCAAATCCTCTTAATTGGCCCTGATTGTGGAGACGAGCCAGGAGTCTCTCCTCGTGCTCCGCCGCTCCGTGCAGGGAATGACAACGAGTCCCGGGCAGCTCCTGTCAGTCACGACTCTGGGCACCGACAGTCGCCTCTACCTGCTGACTCACGCCTGCTGAGGGTTGCCTCCCCAATCCGGCCGTATCCATATCTACTCCTCCCTTCTATCGATCACCCAGAATGGACGGCGGGCTCCTCCCTAACCCCGCCTCCGGCTTTGTTCTCAGGCTCTCTTCTCCTGTCGTTGTGTCTAATCGCGGCTCCCCCCGTGTCTAATCCCCATCTAGATCTGCTAATTGGTTTCAGGTGGCACCGGGAGAAAAGGAGGGCGGCGGGGAAGATTTCATGCCGCCGTCACCATTAATTAAAAAGATGATTACTCAGAATACAAAGATTAAAGATGAAAATAGGAAGTGCCGTGGCTGATAATGAGCCGGTAGCACTTTATGAACCCTCGCTCAGCGTCTCAGCTTGTGTTTTGTGGGAGTGAGCGTTCGCTCATCCGGCAGCGATCGGCCTGTTCGAAGGAAAGTTTGTGGGAGGGCTCTTCAGGTCGTCCTGGCTACATGTTAGGAGGAGCCACACGTCACCTCCTGCGAGGCGACATCGCGAGGAATTGTGTTGAGAAAAGAGCGGCGTGTTTTTTTCTACATCCACCGTGTCCAGGCTGCAGAGGCGTCTGTGGAAACAGGAAATGACAGAAAAAGTGCATCCAGATCAGCCGAGACGTCGTCTGTCCTTGGTGTCCTCAGAGCAGCAGGATCAGAGTCCCAGCCGCCGGCGGTGAAGTCGCCAGGAAGGCTCAGGCCTGCGGCTCTTTGGTAACGATGGATCCGATGAGGTCGAGATTCTGATGACGCCTGCAGTGAAAAGAAAAACAGCGTTTGGTTTCAGCAGATTCGTATTAATGCAGGTTAATTCTTTCCCAACGGGAAAAACTCCAGTTTTAGTTTCAGATTTAATATGAGCTTCACTGGAGATCTGGAGGAGATTTAATATCAAAGCCATGTTTTCCTCTTTATCACATCTGCTTTGCTGCAAAGCCTCACAGATCGTAATTAAGTGAAGATGGTATTATGACAGAGACAAATGCTTCAGAGCCTGTGTTTCCTAAAACCTGTGGTCTCTTTCAACTGTGTTATACTCAGTTATGTTAGTCTAAGGAGCCTCATGGTGGAGGATGCATGTGCCAAACTGCAGCCAAGGAGTTCAACTGGAGCGCGTCACATGTTGAGTCCATCAGTCGGGTTTGGTTGTGATGCACAGACATGCATTTGTTTTAGCTTTAGCTGGAGGTTTCTTCCTTTTCCAGTGTTGCCAGACACTTAATCATAAGGGTTCATCTGACTGTTGATGTTCCCTGTATCATTGTAGGGCTCTCACCTTACAATACAAGGCGCCTGTGATTTGGTGCTTTATAAACAGAATAAGATTTGAATTGAAGGGAACATAAGTCATGATCTTTTCCTGAGCGTAACCCAGTAGCTTTAGGGCCTAAATTACAGAACAAGTTAAAGTGAAACCAGACTGGGCCGAGTCTACTGGTCTAACGTCGTGTGTTTGCCTCGCTTCAGGTTTATTAAACTCCTCAGAAAGCCTCCAATTCAGCATTTTCACCTGCAGCCGGTAAAACAGACACAGGTTTCACATGAACACAACGCATTCACACAAGGAAGGACTGACACGTTATATTGTTTTAGAGAAAGAAGCTATTTGTAAATACAAGACTTTCAGCTCACCTTCTTTTTCTATAAATGTCAAAAGCATCTTTATTTCCACACAAGAAGAAATTCAGTCGAGATGAAAACAACAAACACGATTATTGAAAACTTCTTTCAGCCAAAAACACAGAAACAGCAGAAGTCG